ATTTATTTATTTTTCCCCCAAAGCCCCAGTAGATAGTTGTATGTCATAGCTGCACATCCTTCTAGTTGCTGTATGTGGGACTCGGCCTCAGCATGGCCGGACAAGCGGTGCATCGGTGCGCGCCCGGATCCGAACCCGGGCCGCCAGTAGCGGAGCGCGCGCACTTAACCACTAAGCCACGGGGCCGGCCCAGAGCATGTATTCTTTATCATTCCTTGAAAAACTTTCAAATGATTGAATAGTTTCACTCAAAGAAAGGTAGATTCCTCCTGCATGTCTTATGTGATTGGACATATAATCAAGACCACAAAATGCTAGCTTCAGAGATTTTTTTTAAATATATGTGTGTTATAATTCTAGATAATCTAGTTTTCAGGGCAATACCATTCATTATGCTGAAATCATTTAACATTTATTCTCTGTGTAAATTTATTTGAAAAATAAAAGGTTAATTGTCAAAATTCACTCGCAAATATATGTGTTTTTTAAAACAGATTGACCTGGAGAGTATCTTTTCACTTAACCCTGACCTTGTACCTGATGAAGAAATTGAGCCCAGTCCAGAAACACCTCCACCTCCAACATCCTCAGCCAAAGTAAACAAAATTGTAAAGGTTAGTGATGAAAATTCAAAGCAGGTGTGTGTGCGCATGCGCGTGCATGTGTGTGTGTTCAGGTTTGAAATTGGCAGGCTGTGAAGAGTATGTTTTAAATATTAGTTTGCTTGCTTTAAAAAAACCTTAATTCTTTCCACCATCCACATGCGTATATATGTACATACATACTTTCAAGGATTGAGGTTGTTTTAATTCACAGTTATGACAATCATTAGATAAGATCCTAGAAATTCCTTGTCTGATTAGGATTTTTCCTAAGACTAATAGCTTCTCAGGAGATATGTGTCAAAACCATTTGCTTGTCAGTGTTTGTTGAGTGAATAGGTATAATTTCGATAAAGAAAGAATGACTTTGTTATTCATAATAAATTCCCACCCTAATAGTCTTTTGAAATAGTAATTCTGCTATTTGTATATTAAGGAAAGATGGGAAATGATAGAGTATAGTTTAACTACTTCCATATAATCTATGAAGATAGACTTTTAAAATCATACTGTGTCCTCCCTAACAGTTAATCTTTACAAAAATATAAAAGGCATGTTATTTTTATTATTATTATTATTTTTTTTTTTTTTTTTTTTGTGTGAGGAGATCAGCCCTGTGCTAACATCCGCCAATCCTCCTCTTTTTTTTTTTTTTTTGCTGAGGAAGACGGCCCTGGGCTAACATCTGTGCCCATCTTCCTCCACTTTATATGGGACGCCGCCACAGCATGGCTTGCCAAGCAGTGTGTCGGTGCGCGCCCGGGATCTGAACCAGCGAACCCCGGGCCGCCGCAGCGGAGCGCGCGCACTTAACCGCTTGCGCCACTGGGCCGGCCCCTTTTATTATTTTTGAAAGATAATTCTTCTTCCTTTCTTTTGAAACTTCTCACTGTTAAAACTTTGTATCAAAATATAACTCTTTTTAAACCAAGTAGTCCCTTAAAGTTATTGAATCTGCAATTTTTTGTGTTCATTTCAACAAGCATTTGTTGATTTTTCTACGTTGTTGATTCTGTCATCTACAAAGATGAGTATGACATGGCTTGAACCCTATAGGAACTTGCTGTGATGCAGGGAAGACATACATAAGCATCTAAATATGCTTAAAATATCAACAAAACATTCTGCTTTTTAAACCATGCATGTGAATGTAAGGCAGATTTTCAATTCATGTAATTTCAGCTATTGAGAGTCACTACTTCAAGGTTATTAGTTACCACTTATAAAGTGACTGGTTTTCATATTTGTCTTCACAACCTTGAAGGATCTTCGTAGTTTATCCTTCTTGGTATGTCTTTAGCAACGTTTGCTGTGCATTAGAATCACCTGGAGAATTTTTTAAAACACTGATTCCTAGGCCCACTTCCAGAGATTGTTTTATTTTATCCAAAGGAAGGCCCTAGCATCAATATCCTTTTAATAGTACCCATCTGATTTGAATGTGCAGTTAGCATTGAGAACAACTGCATTATTTGATGTCTTTTTTTTCAGGTGAATAAAATGAAGTCTTGGCAAATAAATAATAGGACAAAAAATCTGCTGCCCTAATCTATGCAGTGTTGAAGTTTTTGAGAGTCTAGTGAAACCTTTCAGTATAACTGACAGTGTGCATTTCATAGTATTTTGATTTTTCAGTTTAACAATGGGCTGTAAGTTTAAAACTGATGCTTTATTAATTACCCCCTGACATCCAAAGATGAAATTTATTACATAGTTTTGGCAGGATAGTGTGATGATTAAAAATATACACTTCCGTGAAATTACTTAACTTATCTTTGCTTCAGTTTCCTCATCTATGAAACCAGAATAGCAATAATAATGACCTCATAGTGTTGTTGTGAAGATTAAATGACTTAATACATATAAAGTCATTACAGCAGTGCCTAATTCCTGAATATTTTTTCTGGGGGAGGGGGGGAGGAATACTCATATAAAGAAACTTGAATATGGATAGTATTAGTAACAATTCACTAGAAGATTATTTATAGTTTTTCTCCATTTACTTTTATATTATATCGTATATCCACATCCTTTTGTTTAAAGAAAGCTGATTATGACATACATATGAGGAGTAAAGAGGAAAGTAAAATGAACATTTTCTCTTTTATAGAATCGACGGACTGTGGCTTCTATTAAGAATGAGCCTCCTCCAAGAGATAATAGAGGTAAAGTAAAAATTTATCTATTAATTTTTCCTATTGACTTTTTAGTATGGCCCTGACAAGGTAAATCAGAAGTAAATATTACCCTTGATGTTATTATTCATTTAAACTTTACATGGCTAATTTTTTTTTCATTGGGGTCATAATAGTTTATAACATTGTGAAATTTCAGTTGTACATTATTATTTGTCAATCACCATATATATGTACCCCTTTACCCCTTATGCCTTCCACTCTGGTAACTACTGATCTATTCTCTTTGTCCATGTGTTTGTTTCTCTTCCACATTTGAGTGAAATCATGCAGTGTTTGTTTTTCTCTGGCTTATTTTGCTTAACATAATACCCTCAAGGTCCATCCATGTTGTTGCAAATGGGACGATTTTGTCTTTTTTTATGGCTGAGTAGTATTCCATTGTGTATATATACCATGTCCTCTTTATCCATTCATCAGTTGATGGGCACTTGGGTTGCTTCCTATGTGGCTAATTTTAAGATTGGTATCTTCTTTATTTCCTAATACAATAATGTCAATAATATCAAAAAATGATTTATGAAGGTATGTGATTAATATGAAACTCCATGATATATGTAATTTTTTATTCATCTCATTTACCCAATAATTTTTCAGATTTGAGGAGAGTAAAGTAGTCGGTTGCTAGATTTCATAAGGGTAAATTTAATCATCACAATGTTTTGCATGATTTTCTGGTAAACAGGCTTCCAAAAGGGGTCATGGGTAACTTTGGAGTGAGCTCAAGAAAAATTGAACAAGTATAAATTGTAGTTAGTTGCAAGTCTTCTGTATATTCTCAGCCAGGAGATATAAAGCATAGTTGATTCCTTTTCTACTCTTCAGCAGTTCAGAACCATCCTTTCTAATACTGATGTTTCTCTGTACGGATGGATGCTAAGACAGGATGGGCGTAGTTATTAGAAGACAGATGGGAGCTAGAGGGAAAGTCCTGCACTTTTAAACACTATCCTTTGAGTCTTGTGAAAATTTATATTTCTTTGTAAAATGTGATATTTATATTCAACTTTATATTCCTTTTTCAACTTTTATAACATCCACGGTGGGAAATTCTCTGCCGAAGATTTGCATATTTGAGGAGCCAAGAGTAGGGTTTGGAATCAAGAGGGTTGAAGGACTCAAGGCTTTACTTTTTTTGTACTTCTGAATTGTGTAAATTTTTTAACAAAATGAGAATGCATTTAAAAATCATATTTTGGGGCCAGCCCCATGGCTTAGAGGTTGAGTGCGCGCGCTCCACTGCTGGCAGCCCAGGTTCAGATCCCAGGAGCGCGCCGATGCGCCACTTCTCCAGCCATGCTGGTGCCGCATCCCACATATAGCGGCTGGAGGGATGTGCAACTATGACATGCAACTATCTACTGGGGCTTTGGGGAATAAAAAGGGAGGAGGATTGGCAAGAGATGTTGGCTCGGAGCCAGTCTTCCTCAGCCAAAAAAAAAAATCTTATTTTGGGGGCCGGCCTGGTGTCGTAGTGGTTAGGTTTGCACACTTCCATTCAGTGGCCCCCGGCTCGTGGGTTTGGATCCCGGGTGGGGAACTACACACCACTCATCAAGCCATGCTGTGGCGGCGTCCCACACACAAAAAAGAGGAAGATTGGCACGGATGTTAGCTCAGGGACAATCTTCCTCAGCAAAAAGAGGGAGATTGGCAACAGACGTTAGCTCAGGGACAATCTTCCTCACCAAAAAAAAAAAATTCATATTTTGCACTTAATATTTTTTAAATGATTATTAAAAATCAAGCTTAGCTTTGGTTTTTATGTAAATTATTCAGGTTGAGTTTTGTAGCTAAAATTACATTTTAGAATCTAAGTCTGCACATATTACTTGGAAAATCTCTTAGCTTGTCAGTTTATTGGACAGAGTTGATTTATACGTTCTTTTTATACACACGTAAGTAGAAACCTGGCAATTTGCTAATGCAAGTTTATGTATTGGTTCTTTTGAGATATCTCTGTTCTTTTTAGCAAAGTTCACCTTTACTAATTTTCAGTTATGAATTTAAAAATTTTCTTTCACTTACAGTGGTTGGTTCTGCACGTGCACGGCCTAGTCAGCTTCCTGAACAGTCTTCCTCTGCACAACAGAATGGTAGTGTTTCAGATATATCTCCAGTTCAAGCTGCAAAAAAGGAATTTGGACCCCCTTGTATGTAAATCATGTATCAAGGATTAGTCATTTTAGGCATACATGTATTCTCTCTTGGTCATCCTTGTAAGTTCCCAAATGGTAAACAGTCTAATTGAAAACTTGATTGCAGATTTCATTTTGCCACAGTGGAAAATTATTTTTTTTTGTTAGGTTAGTCTGTTAATTGGGTTTTTACATGTATATTTTGGAGGGAAAATTTTTTATAAATATGAAATTATAACAATGTTTTAGTTGCTTTGAATTTAAAATTCTGGCCAGATGATAATTTGACAGATATTATAGAATAAATTCTTATGCTTCTAGATCCTTTCCAATTCAAAGATCTGTGATTCTAAACCAAGAGATGACATGTATCGATATGTTAGAGTCATTTTTCTTGACTCTTACTTGTTTATTGTCCTGTTCTTAGTTTTGTTAAGCAGCTCATAGTCAAGTTCACATAGTTATCATAGGCATGCTTTGTCACTGTGTACCTTTATTTGGTGTATGTGGTGAAATTATACATAAAATTTTTATGTAAGTACAGTACTCTAAAAACAAAACTATACTTCTATAGCTCATCTTTTTCTTTCAGCACGTAGAAAATCTAATTGTGTGAAAGAAGTAGAAAAATTACAAGAAAAACGAGAAAAAAGGAGACTACAACAGCAAGAACTTAGAGAAAAGAGAGCCCAGGTTTGTAATAGAAGCCTATTTTGTTTATGCACCAACCAAAGGTTAGACTGTGTCAGTGAAAGTGATTGGTTTATGAAAAAATAGTTGAGGCATTCATTTAAAGATTTCATTATAGTTCCTTAAATTGATATTGAGGAATAATATAAACTCTTGTGAAAATAAGTTATCATAATAGATTTTACTACATGTACTTTTCATGTTTTAGGTATGTGTTAGTCCTAAAGTTTGTTCCATTTTGAATAATAAGCCATTGTGTTACATAATTCTAATGCATATATTATAACATTCAAAAATAATAGGATTTTGAACTTTTTGAAAGACCTAAAAATACATTCAGAAAAATATCCAGTTAAAATACATGGTTATACTATAAATTTTATTACTGTTTTCCCATGGTTAATAAGTTCAGTGTATCACAATGAAAGGGGGGAAATTGCTTGTGTTTTAATTTATACTAGATATCGAGAGTGTCTCTGTTGTGCCCCTCTCATGTTCCCATTTGATGGTAGTAGACTATTTACTAGCAATGAAAAATTGCATAGAGGACTGGTCTTTTCTCTCTCTACAGGTCTTCACGTATGAGAAATTCTGTTATTGTACATAGAAGTCCTCTATTGTGCTTGTTTTGTATCTATTATATTCTCAGAACTTGTTTCTTATAATAAAACATTAGGATTTTTTTTTTTTTATTTAGGAGTATGTTCAAATGCCCTTAATCATAAAGATGTTGTATTGTGGAATTGTGGAACCAGTATAATATTCAGCCTGAATAAATCAGCTTATATCTGAAAGTGATTCTGAGAATGACCAGTTGGGTTTTGAAATAAGTAATACACAAAACAGATAGATCTGCTGATACTTAGCACAGACGCCACCTGGTGTTTCCTGTGGGTACTTCATAATATTTTCACTTAATTCTCACTTTACATTTTGTTTCTCAGTTGACATAGTTGGTATTATTTTCTAGAAAAAGGTTAATTGAAAGTAAGTTTCATTAAACAGTTTTGAAATTTAGTTATATTCAAAGCAAATCTGTATATGGTATATGAAAAAAATCTGACTTCTTACTTATAATGTTCAATAATTTATTACTCATGCCTAGGAGAGGTTGTTAATATTGCTAGTTGAATTTTCTCAGTTTTGAAGCAAATAGTAAATTGCAGTCAGCATTCAGTAATTTGAATTTTAAAGATTTAAAATATTATCTTGGCTCTTGGATCCTTTAAATTCTATGTCATGTCCATTTGGGGCTGTTTTACCATGCCTTAGTTTTTTTTAGAGAATCAACAAAAATAGGAAATGAACATAAAAGAATCCATATTTCTACTTTGCTGAAACACTGGATTAAGAATTGGGAAGAAGAATTTGATTAAATGAACTTTTCTAGAATTTCAGCTTTTCTAGAGTTCTTTATTGATGTTTAAGATGAGTACTATTTCTCTTTTGCTCCATTTTCTAGGATAATTAAGGTATATGTACAACAGATGAATTTTTGAAATAGGTCAAGAGTGGCTTTAATGATGAATGTTTGGTTTGGAGTTAACAGAATGCGTGTAGACTAACAGCTTTGTGTTTTTACTATGAAAGTGATTACTATGAAAGTATTATTAATCCTGAACTCTGAAACTAAATTATATCACATCTCCAGTTTGAGTTTGGGCTTGGCTATGACAAATGATACAATCTATTAGTTTAATTGTAATTTTCAAACCATATAGAGCATAAATATAACAGATACCATATTATTGTAATTATAATAAATGAATTCTCTCTGTCTTCTTATAGGATGTTGATGCTACAAACCCAAATTATGAAATTATGTGTATGATCAGAGACTTCAGAGGAAGTTTGGATTATAGACCGTTAACAACAGCAGATCCTGTAAGATTCTTTGTAAAGCATTGCTCTACAACTTTTTATGCTATAAATGAAAACATGTTTGATGCCCGCTAAATTAATATTGTGTTTAGCTGTGTAGTTTTTCTTCTCTTTATGGGTGCTCATTCCCCATGTTTTAAGAAGAAAATGAAGAAATCACATTTATGCTTGTCTCCCATAATTTGGTATATCAGACATGCTTCCCAGAGAGATGCCCGTTTCAGAACAAAGCCTCCCTGTCTCTAGTAGGGCAGAGTAGGAGTTAAAGGAATGATGTCAGGGGACCCCATTTGCTTTCTGACCATCGCTTATACTTTGATCTCAATTTCAAGCTTATTTCCTCTTTGGCTCGGGCTATAGATCCCACTGTCATTCCAATTTACTTAGTTAGTTTTTTATTTTAAATAAATGTTAGTCTGGCTTTTAACAAGAAGTGATGCTTGTTGAGGACTACAGTAGACCAGAAATCTAGTGCTGGAAAAATGTTCTGCTGTCTTAGTACTCACTTGCTTTCCTGTTGAAGAATGAGGATTTATTGGACAGGCAATACTTTTGTGAGTAATTGGTACTTATGAAAAATAATCCATCTGACCTAGTGTATACAGAACGTATTGGATACGCAAAGTACATTTGTGTTAGGCAGATATATAGGATTTGATGGAGTTGCTCTTCATAACATTTGCATTTCATATATTTTAGTCCTTGCCTACCCCTCCATGTGTTTAACCTACTACATCTGAGCTTATACTTTAGGACAGGGATTGGCAAACTTTTTCTGAAAAGTGCCTGATAGTAAATATTTTTGGCTTTGTGAACCTTATGGTCATTGTTACAATTGCTCAATTCTGCCTTTGTAGTATGAAAGCAGCCTTAAAACAATCCATAAATGAATGGGCGAGACTGTTTTCGTAAAGCTTTACAAAAGCAGGTATCGTGGGCCAGATTAGTCCTGCAGTCCATACTTTGCCAATTCCTGCTTTATGTTAATTATTATTAAAAGGCAATTATTGGGAACATAAGTTTTATGAAAAAAATACTTATGTGTAAGAATTGACATTATAAAATTGTTCAAATTATTTTGCTTAATAATTTTCTGAGAATTGTGTTTCTTGTCTATAGTTAGTTATCTTTGCCAACAATTTTCCCTATAATCAACCTGAAAATATGCCACTTGGTAGGAAATTTTACTTTTGTTCTATACAGCACATCTTGAAGTGAGTAAGGCAGCTTCTTAACATGAACCTAATGCTACTAAGAATAGTAGTGCCCTCTACAAAGTTATTTCCTTAATGGTTTGCCAAATGGTGGTGTTTCCATTATACTCTGAATTTTAGAAATAATGTCTGATAAATACTAAATTTATGCAAGCTAATTTGTTTTTAAAGCTTACTTATCCTGTTTATGCTATGCATAAATTTCTAAAACGTCTGGAGGAAATATTGCACAATTGACTTTTCATACCACCATTGACTTACATACCACTGATAATCACTGAAATAAAATATTTTATTTCTAGATTGATGAACATAGGATATGTGTTTGTGTAAGAAAACGACCACTCAATAAAAAAGGTATGATGCTTATTGACCTCTAATGAAAGATTGATTTCGTCCTGTTTGTAATTTATTTTGATAATAGCAGAAATCAGATTGGTTTGGAAGAGTTAAATGTAAATCGTTTCATTTATATATAACCATTAGGCAGATTTCTATAGTTAGATCTGTTGATTTGTTATTGCTATATGAATCATTGCCATTCTTGGTTCTTGCTTCACAGAAATCTTGATTTTTTACTTTTTTGTTGAACTATTCTGTCTTATTGAATGGCATATTTATGGGATATTTATATTTATAGAACTTATTACTTTTATCTAAATTCTTACTACTTAAAATAATTTTTGTACTTTAATTTAAATGCTGTGAAAATTACTGGGCATTGATTTTCATTTATTCTTTTAGAAACACAAATGAAAGATCTTGATGTAATCACAATCCCTAGTAAAGATGTTGTGATGGTACATGAACCAAAACAAAAAGTAGATTTAACAAGGTACCTAGAAAACCAAACGTTTCGTTTTGATTATGCCTTTGATGACTCAGCTCCTAATGAAATGGTTTACAGGTAGGTAAATTTGCTTTGCATCAGGATTTTGTTCTTATACTGTGTGTTCATCACCACCTTGAAACGTATTGATCTTGGCATATCTTTCCAGACGTGTAATATGCTTTTTTATTCTGAGTTTTAACAAAGAAGAATATGTAATAAACACTATAAGGAATATTAACATTCTCTTTCATGTGCCCCAAAATCATAGTTTTTACTACTGATTAACTTAATATATACATATCTCACAAACTGTGTATATGGCTAGGAAATTTCTGGAAAATGTTGACATTTTCTGTACTTCTGGGAATGGGATGTGATTAAAAGAAGAACACTTCTATTTTTTACTTTTTAATCTCTGTACTAGTAAAGAAATGTGAAATATTTGTTATACATCAGTCATTTATTTGTCTAAATCTTTATTTAGCATGTATGTGCTACCACTTAAGGAAAAAAAAGTTCTGTAAATCTACTTGCAATGTGCCAAATTTTTATCATCTTTAAGATGTGGAATAGTTTTATTTATTTATTTATTTGTTTTATTTATTATTTTTTTTGTGAGGAAGATTAGCCCTGAGCTAACATCCATGCTAATCCTCCTCTTTTTTTTTGCTGAGAAAGACCGGCTCTGAGCTAACATCTATTGCCAATCCTCCTCCTTTTTTTTCCCCAAAGCCCCAGTAGATAGTTGTACGTCATAGTTGCACATCCTTCTAGTTGCTTTATGTGGGACGTGGCCTCAGCATGGCCGGAGAAGCGGTGCATCGGCACGCGCCCGGGATCTGAACCCAGGCCGCCAGTAGCACTTAACCGCTAAGCCACGGGGCCGGCCCTGGAATAGTTTTAGTGCATGAAATTCCTGTATGTTCACATATTCAACTTATAAACAACTCAAACTTATATGTATTATACATTGATATCCCAAATTTTTATGCCAAATTTAGATTTTCATACATGGTTTGTAAACATTCACTTCTAATTTTAACAAGTCAGTTTTAGGAGCGTTGCTATTTCAGTCTATATAGAACTGTCTTGGCATTCAATTGAATGCTATGTTTTGTTGCCCTTTTACTTTATAAAATGTTTGGAAAACAGAAAGTTAAAGAGTTAATGAGTCCTAAGAACTGAAGATGTTAAAAATGAAATACTGTTGAGACCAGTTTCATGGTTTTAAGCCAGTAAACTGGGAGTTCAGTTGTAAAAAAAAAAAAAAAAGGACAAAATTTAAGAACATGTGAACGTTAGAAATATTGTCAAGTTGTTTTAAAATGGAATAATTATAAATTGTATATGTTTTACCTTTCTGAGAGCAGAGTCCTCTCTTTCCCCCTCACTCCCTTCTCTACTGCCACTCCTGTCTCATAAAATGTCTTTTTGACTTTTATAATCATTTTCAATAAATCGTTTTAATAAAGGTATGTTTCTGTATGTATGCTAGATTTAGTAAACATTCTGTGTTTCACCCTGTATTTATGCTTCTTAACTTTACCAGTATTGATCCTATCCCCTTTCTCTTATAGTTAACTTTTAAGGATTGAGGAGTTAGGCCTTTTTTGGTCTAATCACTCTGCAAACTTATTTCTAGTTCTGTTTGACCAGAACTTTTTTCTGCTCCTTTTGTTCTGTACCTTCTCCAGCTGTGCCTTTTTTAAAAAAAGTCAGAACTGTGTAAAGTGTTCTATATATATTATTTTGAAGCCTATATAAAAAGTGGATTTGTTCAGTGCTCTGCTCAGTGAAGTGTTTTTTGTCCCTTCTTCCCTTTTTATTTTAACTCTAGCAGTGATTACACCACTATATTTGAAAAATAATCCAAACCGTAATATTTTGGCATCTTTTTCCTGAATCAAGACTGTCAACTCAAAACTCAGTATCTTATAAGCATAATTTATATTTACTTATCCACATTTGAGGAAATCTTATCACTTTTCTACTAGCTTAGATGGTCTTAGATAATGTTTTTGTAGTTTTTTTCCCCTTTGCTTTTCTCTGTTGAGATTACCACTCTTTTGATTCTGTTTCTGTTGAAACTTTTGAAGCTTTTTTTTGGTTTTCATTAAAATATTTTACTTGTCTGGCTAATATTACCATCTTCTGTTGTTATTTTTAAAAATTTTCCTATTGTCTTCTCAATATGTCTTAGCTCAGTTGCTATCAGTTTTTTTCTGTCCATTATTATTGTGACCATTGTTTATTATGGAATTATTGTTTGAAATTATGCTTTAAAGAGCTTTAAGCAATTCTATGATATGGTTATTTAAATTTTTAACAAATCATTAGGTTCAATTGTGGCCTCACAGTTGAGCCCATTGATTTGTTAAAAATCTTGGTATAACTTTCTTTTATTAAGACTTGGTACTACTTTTATTTGTTATTGGTTTAATTTAAATATTGACGGCACATTCTCACTGGTGCATTTTATTTTTAAGGTTTACAGCTAGACCACTAGTGGAAACTATATTTGAAAGAGGAATGGCTACATGCTTTGCTTATGGGCAGACTGGAAGTGGAAAAACTCATGTAAGTAATTCATTATAGTTACATCCTGGTATGAAGCTAGTTTATTTTCCTTACAGCTTAATTCTAAGACCTAAATTCTTAAGGTTTATTCCTGAATAATGTCTATTATTATTTATTTTCTTTTCAATATATAGACTATGGGAGGTGACTTTTCGGGAAAGAATCAAGATTGTTCTAAAGGAATTTATGCATTAGCAGGTAACTGTCCTTTTTGCATATCATTTGTAATATTCTTGAATATTATTCAGGTGGCTTTGAAATGAGACTTGAAAATATTGTCCAAGATTTTAAAGGTAACTATAATGCTATACTTTCTGTATATTATGTCAATTTTAGGTTATCAGACTGCTCGAGAAGAACTGTGCTTTGGGGACAGAAATCTTGATTATATTTGTGTCATTGTAATTGGACACATTGTTGGAGCTTAGTATTTGTTGTTGAATAACTGATTTGTGAAATGCTTCCGTTTAGTATGATTATGAGAGTAACCTTACTATAACCACATATAATTTTATGCTATTTATAAGGATAAGTAGTAGCATCCTTTTACTGACTGTGAAGGGGAGAGTGGCATCTAACCCTGAAATGTAAAAAAATTGTTACTGTTTTTTTGTAAAATTAATATTCCCTTTAGTCTTCATTTTTATTATTGATATTATTAGTCTAGGTGAAGATTAACTGATTCCTCTAAAAATAGAAAATTTGAATTGCTTTTTAAAAATAGTATTTGTTGCATCTTAACAAATTTTCTCCATATGAAATTCTTGACAGCTCGAGATGTCTTTTTAATGCTAAAGAAACCAAACTACAAGAAGTTAGAACTTCAAGTATATGCAACCTTTTTTGAAATTTATAGTGGAAAGGTAAGTAGAAACTTTCAAAAAAATTTTTTTAGTTTTTAGAATTGTGGTTAAAATATGCATAATATAAAATTTACCATTTTAATCATTTTTAAGTGTACAAGTTTGGTGGCATTAAGTACATTCACATTATTGTGCAACCACTGCCACCACATAATTTTTATATGTATTTAGAATATTATGTTAGAATTTTGCATTATGAGATTTTCTTTAATTCCCTTTGAAACTCTTAACTTCAATATTAAGCATTATTCTAACAATAATTATTATTATAATTATTGGAAATAATTTTCAGACTCAGACTCATTTTTATAGACCTGATTCTTTTTTTCTTTCAGGCTAGTTTTCTAATTTGAATTTTTTTTTTAATAGGTGTTTGACTTACTGAATAGGAAAACAAAATTAAGAGTGCTAGAAGATGGAAAACAGCAGGTTCAAGTGGTTGGATTACAGGAACGGGAGGTCAAATGTGTTGAAGATGTACTAAAACTCATTGACATAGGCAACAGTTGCAGGTAAATCTTATTTTAATTAAGAAAGAGAAACCTAATTTCATAATCAGTTTTAGATACTTTGGGTATAACATAAAAACAAAGTAAGATGCTATTCAGTGCATCTTGGAAGTAAAAATCATTGTTCATAAAACCTTTTTTGTTACATGTAAACTTTGAATGACATCTACTATATTGATGGTACTACAAATATACTAGAAGTATGTCAGATTAAATTGTGTAAATCTGGTTATGTTTAAGTGTGGTTAACTCAAAATGTCTCTTTTATGTTTAAATGATGAAAACTGGATAGTTTTTTGCTTTTTAAATGGAAATACTGTGGTTTGAACGTATAAATTGAAGTTTTTATGTATCAAAGCGTCCTTAATCACATTGTAGAACATCCGGTCAAACTTCTGCAAATGCACATTCATCTCGGAGCCATGCAGTGTTTCAGATTATTCTTAGAAGGAAAGGAAAACTACATGGCAAATTTTCTCTCATCGATTTGGCTGGAAATGAAAGAGGAGCTGATACTTCCAGTGCAGACAGGCAAACTAGGCTTGAAGGTGCTGAAATTAACAAAAGCCTTTTAGCACTCAAGGTAAACAAAACGTGTTTAATTGTGAAGAGTTTTTTACTTTTGACTTTAATTTTGTTTACTCAGCTATAAAATAGTACTTGCTTAGTTTAATAAGTAAGAGAGGTTATCAAAATTCAGTTGTTTATATTTGCAGTTATAGATTTATTTTGTGCCCAGAAGTTTTCTTTACACATATTATTCATTCTTTTTAGGATAAAGGATCTGTTAGTTGGCAGGCCAGTTTTGAGGCTACTTAGGGAGATTCCAGACGGCCTTAATCAGTCATATTTTCTTGGAGGAGGGCAAGGAGCCACAAAACTGAGCTAAGAAATAGTTTGTCAGAAAAATGAGGAATGGCTTTCAAAAAATTAGGCCAGTATTATATCTCTTCCCTGACTAGAAAAGGAAAGATTGGCAGGACTACAAGAAGACATTCTGTGTTTTATCTTTTGTAGTGCCACTTTAAAAGTTTAACTTTTTATAGTTATCCTAAGTGCCTGTCACTTCTAAACACTAGTCATGGTCTCCAGAAGAATCTTTTGGTATAATAAAGTAGATTGTTGGTTGTTGTTTTTTTTTTTCATTTTCTTGCATTAGGATTTATGGGAACATCTTTACTATGCTTTAAACCTGTTAGTAGAATTTTCAGAGCTGATTAAATCTTAAATATTAGGGTTATGGTTAAGAGATCTTTTAAATGTGTTAATTAAGATTACTCTTTATAGAAGCCTAATCTATAAAACTTGCTTTCTTAATTTTCAGGAGTGCATCAGAGCCTTAGGTAGAAATAAACCTCACACTCCTTTTCGAGCAAGTAAACTTACTCAGGTGTTAAGAGATTCATTCATAGGTGAAAACTCTCGTACCTGCATGGTAAGTTATTTTTGTGTTTCGTTTGTTTTGTTATACTCCTGAATGAATAATTATGCAATATCTATGGGAAAATTATAATATACATTAATGACAATCATTTAAATCCTTCTATTGTGAGAGATACAGTGGTACTTAAGATGTGGTCCCTGTCAGTCTGATAGAGAGGATTATATTGCAGTTATAATACATTCTACTGATTCCAACATCTGAGACTTCTTGAGGTTGGTCTCTATTGATTTCTGTTTTCCTTGAGTATGGGTCAGACTTTTCTATTTGTTCATATATCTAGTAATTTTGGATTATATCATTTTCATTATGAATTAATACCTCATAGACACTCTGGATTCTTTTAGGTTCGTCTAAAGATTATTGATATTTTTGTTGCTTTAGCAGGAAGTTAACTTCGCTGAACTTACACCAAACTCTTATCTACCCTGCTGTGGACAGCAACTGAAATTGAAATCTTTATTTAGCTCTCCTAGACTAGCTATGTTGCTTGAAGTCAGCCTGGTGTTTTCCTAGTTCAGGGGTCAGCCAGAGATTTAGGCAGTTTATATGCAGAATTGGAGTTTCTTGCTCTGTGGTTTTCTCTCTTCTAGGACAAACTTCACTTTCCAGCTGCTGTGGTCCCCACCTCCAAACTCGGTCCTTTAGTTTCTTAACCAGTGAAACTCCAGGTTTCTAATGAAGTTTCAGTTGTCCTGTGTGACAGCAGTGGGGCTTGCCCTTAGGCAAAAAAGCATTAAAAGAGGGAAGAGCGCAGTCACTTGGTGCTATTCACTTCTTCTAGATATTGACCTCCACTTTCTGTCTGATTTTGATCATTTTCTGGTGCCTTCAGAGAGTTGTTTATATTTTAACCAGCGTTTATAATTATTATCTGATTATGGGTATGAGATGGAATTACAGAATTATCTTGGAGTTCAGGTATCATTAATAAGTTGTTTTAGATAACTATATTAAGATTAGACTTTAATGAGCTATGTGTCAGTATTGCTATCTTCATCATTTATAACACTTTCTTTACCTTTGCATTTTTCCCCCATAGATTGCCACAATCTCTCCAGGAATGGCATCCTGTGAAAATACTCTTAATACATTAAGATATGCAAATAGGTATGAGAAATGGTTATCTATTTTGAAATTTGAGGGGAGTAGAACAGTATATGGTTTGATTTAATATCTGATAGGGTAAATTTTATTACATTGTTCTTTCAGTTTTCAAAAGAAATTTTGCATATTGTTAGTTGATGAAATTTAGAATCATTTTGTCAAGTTCTAAAAGTAATTGGAAATGTGTAACTTGGGAAGAGATTTATATTTTTAATAGAATCTTTCTATCCTAGAACATGATTATATTTTTCCATTTAACCAAGTTACATTTCATAATATTTTACTACATTTAAGTCATGCCAATTCTTTCTATTATATTAAGACTCTAAAGTAAATGAGTATAAGGGGGCCAGTCTGTATTTCTTAAATTGTTTTACTATATGCTGAATATTATTTCTGATAATATTAAGTGTTATACATGGGGAATCTAGGGTTTGAATAAGTAGTGATAGTACAGTTCTTTCTGGTGTTCATATTATATGGGTTACATTTTATTATTCATGTCAGTAGTGTTACAAACTTTAATAGACAACTGGATTATTACAGATGAAAGGACAAAAAGCAGTTTATTCCTTAGAGTCATGAACTGTCCTTGGAATTTTGGATTGTGATGGGCATATTTATATTTGTTCCGTAGATTGTTGCCATTGCTCTGATTTTTAATGACTAGTTTTAAGTTTCTATTATGACATTGCATTTGTGATTTTAACCAAGAGATAAAATTCCTCTTTATATTCCATATCTAATGTGGAGAGTCTCCTAATTTTGCTGAACACAAGTATTTGTCCCTTTTCATTGTTTTAATCACTATGGAAAATTTATTTTTAATCTTTTATTAAAATCTGAAATATATTTGCCTACAGAAAAATATCTAAAATATAAGTGAATAATTTAATGAATACTTCTAAAGTGAAAATTCCTGTCATCAGATCGGGAAGTAGAACATTTCCAGCTCCCTAGAAAGTTCCCCATGTGTCCCTTCCTGATCACGAATCCTGAATAACATGCCCAAATCCATTAGTCTCTACCCCATGGTAGCCAATGTCCTGACTTCTGTGGAATAATTTTCTCGTTTTTCTTTCTTTCTCTTTTTTAAAAAGTTTCACTACCTATGAATGTATCCCTGAACAACATGGGTAGCTGTATTTGAACTTTACATAAATGAGATCATAACCTTTGTTCTTTTGTCTCTTGCTTTTGCTTCAACCGAAGAGACTTTTTTTAATCATAGTAAAAACTGTTGGAAAGTAGAAACCCATTGACCTTTTGTAAAAAGATATTAAAAGATAATAACTTCCCTAGAAATATAATAGAACTTTATTTCTAAATTTAATCCCTTTTAAGCTTTGAATTATGTGCTCCTAGCTGCAAAACTTTATAATATTTTTAATTGATCTTTGTAGTGAACATTTTTGGTATTGTGGGGTTTTTATCATTAATTTAAAATCCTTCTCATTTCAAAATTGTTCATGGGAGAAATAAAGGACAGCTTAGTGTAGTGGAATATTGCCATGTTGTAGAATTAAAACAAATAAAAATCCTCCATGTCTCTAGACTTGTGGCTGCAAAAGAATCCCCCTAATGTGAAAATCCTGTATCTGGCCATTCCTCTAGTTTGTTTAGGTCCAAGTAAAATGTTTTAATCTATTAACATGTAATGTATTTCATTCGCAATATAACTAACCATCTGGGACAAATAATTCTGTCCTTTATTTCCAAATCGCTAGGAATAGAGATTTTCGAGCTCCCTTGATAGCTCATTTGAGGAATATAATTCCTGCATATAGTGTAGTTTAGGTTGGGCATGAGGGCTTTGAATAGAGGAAAGGGTGTGGTTAGGGGCTAATAGGGTATCTAAATTAGGAGATTCTGAAATAATTGTAAAATAAGAAATGGAGTTGGGAGTAAAAAGAGTTAAGTCAGTATTAGAAATTTAGATTCGTCAGCATATATGGTCAATCTAAGCTTTCCAAAGTGACCATAAAGGATGAAGAGCAGATGAATCCAGTATGGAACCGTTGATGGTAGACATTACCAATAGGTCAAAGAAAGATTGTAAGTAGAAGAAATGTATTAGTTTGATCTACATGAAATTATTAGTTTGAGCTATATGACTATTTTTGACCTATAAAAACAGTAATTTCATTTAGTTCAACCTAAGAAAGGTAATGAAAAAAACAGAAAATATGGTTAGTGTATTGAAGTGTTTTAACAACATAAGGTTTGTACTTAGAGCTAGGTTTGAACCTCAGTTATGCCACATTCTCATTGAATGACCTCTTAGGTGAGATACTTTATTGCTCTGAGCCAATTTCTCATCTGTAAAATGGCAATAATAATATCACAAGATTGTCATAAGGATTAAATAATATAACGCCTAAAAATTACTAATCATAATATCTGACATATAGAAAGTACTTAATAAATATTGCCTACTGTTATGAAATGAGATAGGCCCAAAGGGACATAGGGAATCACAAAGATTGGGTCAGAAAAGCAATAATTTGGTTAATATAACTATTAGAGACATTAGAAAAGCAATTTAAATTCCATTGCTAAAGGCTTTTCTCAGCCAGGGTTCTTCATCTGAATCACCAAGCACAGAAAATATATTTGAGTGACTGTTTTCTCAATTTGTACCAAGGATGCTTCATAGCAAATACCATTCTAGATGCATCAGAAAGAAGTTAATTCATTACAAACAATGGATGCCATTAGGACTTAATTCTCTTGTGTCCTGTTTGAAAATACTGCAAGAGTGTTAATGACTTAACTGCCAATAAAATATTCATGGTATTGACTACACAAGAAACTTCGATTGAGTAGTCATGTAATTAAATAAGAGGTATTTCAAATTTAGATGATGGTCCAGTTAAACTTCTAGGAAGGATCATGAAAATACACCAGAAAGTAAAGACTATGGAGTAGGGAATCAATAGGACAGAGGTTCAAAAACCTCTTAAAATTGATTATTTTAAAAATACAATAAGTCATAACAATGTTGATATCCTTTTCTAAAGAAATCAAACTGAGTACTAAATGAAAACTTGAAATGTGCATTGCTGTCTTTACAAGAGCATTTTCTTTTAATTTGTTGCTGTTTTGGTGCTGCAGAGTAAAGGAGTTTGGAATTAGTCCATCAGACATTCCCTTCTCACAGGGTAGTGGCAGTCGCCCTGATCTCTCTCCTTCTTATGAGTATGACGACTTTTCTCCTTCGATTACCAGGTCTACTTCATTCTATACATAAGATGTTTATTTAAATAATTTCTTTTAAATTGTGCTATATATAAATATTTCATTTATACTTCTTTTGTCCTCAGCCATTTTATTTTTCATTTTCATTTCATTTGGCAGGTGGTGGTTATACTGCATGATCTTCATTTTTACGTACTTTATTAATTCATTTGCTTTAAAATATTGATTTAGAATTCAGGCTTCCTATTTCCCCTCATATTTTTAAGGATGATGTCATCTTTGCATATTTACCATTGAAAGATAAACTGTCTTGTTTAAAATGAAAAGTCACCTTTATTCTCTAGGCTCTTGCAGATTTCCTTATCTGCAAGGATCCTCTTGACTTAGAAAGTGTACCCTTTCCCAAATGTGTAAATTTAAGTAATGGGTAAACATTTTTTAAATGATAGAACTTTACATCTTATAATCTTTATACATTAGACATAAGATTATTTCACATGTAGCTATTTTAATTGAGCATTATAACTACCAAAAATCTGCAAAGTGTATGAAATTCTCTGATTTCAGCAATGATCTATTTATTGATCTGAGTGCCATTGTTAGCATTTTTCTGTTCATATAATTTAAGTGCAACAACAGTCTCTTACTTACTTTGAAATACTGAAACTACATATTTTGCTAATTCTCATTTATTATGCACAATAATTATGTTTGAAGTAATTGTAAAGTTACCTAAGTAAATTCTTCAAGTTAAACAGCTAAACATCCCTTTAGTGTTTCCACAGATTTGAGGTAAATTTGATCTGGAAAGCTGACATCATCAATCTTAGTATGTTATTGAATTGCCTTTATATTGAATAGGTTGGTATTTTCTTGTTCCTCTACATGAGTCTTTGTTAATTTTAGATACCTTATGTGTTTATAGGGTGAAAGAACTGACTGTGGATCCAGCTGCTGCTGGTGATGTCCGTCCAATAATGCACCATCCACCAAATCAGATCGATGACTTAGAGGCGCAGTGGGGTGTGGGGAGTTCCCCTCAGAGAGATGATCTAAAACTTCTTTGTGAACAAAATGTGAGTGACTTAATATAGTTGTAATTATCTAATCTTTAGTTCATCAGTAGCAGAATTTAATAATTGAAAACTATCATCTGAATCGGGTCAGCAAACTACAGCCTATGGGCCAGCCGTCTGTTTTTACAAATAAAGTTGTACTGAAACATGGCCACGCTCATTAATTGACATGTTGTCAGGTTGCCTTCTTACCACAACAGAAGTGACGAAGACCACATGGCTCACAAGCCCAAAATACGTACCATCTGGTCCTTTAAGAAAGTTTGCCGACCCCTGATCTAAAACTTCTTTTTTTTGAGATTTTATACCAATATTAAAATTTAGGGATTTTTAAAGTAATATAGGGGGAAAACTAGTTTAAGAATTACACATATATATAAAGCTTAAAAGCAAAATAACCTATGGACACTTACATATTTAAAAGGATGCCTGAACTATATCAAAAATCAAACTTGGCAAATGCTAACATTTGTTAAATCTGGTTGCTTTCTACATGTTTGAAATGTTTAGTGACATTTCATAATTTAAAATTTTGATTCCCCAGTTACTCAAAAAATAATAATAAAATATGTGCCCCTTGTATAAGGTCAAAGAGGTATAAAGAAATAACCGAAAAGCATAAATAATACACATTTCCATCTAATTACTTTAATCTGAGGGGATTCCTTTCTGTATGTGAGATGTAAAAGTTACTTATATAGTTACTTAACTTCACTTTTTAAATTCATAAGCTATATATTTTTATATCATTCTTTTCCCACTTTTATATCATTCTTTTCCCACTAAGAATCCTACAGTGGCATTTTCTCATAATGATAAAAGGTAGCATTTATTAGTTGCTTACTATATAACATACATTTGCTAAACATATTACATATTGTCTGATGTAATCTTCACAACTCCATGTGGTAGGTACTATAATTATCCCTGCTTTCTAACTGATTTTGTAAAAGGTTAAGTAACTTGACTCAGATCATATAAGTAATAAGTGCTGAAGCCAGGCGAGATTGAAACCTTGGTCTTTCTTATTCCAGAGCCATATCTTATGTCAACTAAATTTATTGCTAGCTACAATAAAGTATTCTTTGGAAACAATATAACTTAAGTTAATGTTTTTATTCCCTCTAGCAGGTATTTAGAAGTCCAAAATATTCTAGAGTAACAACTGGCCATACTACTTTTGTTCCAAATTACTCTCTGTTAATAAAGCATGGCTTAATGCAGCAATTCCCAGCCAGGAGTGACTTGGCCCCCAGGGAAAAATGTATGGAGGCGTTTTTGGGTGTTGCACCTGGGGTGATGATACTAGCATCTAGTGGCTAGAGGCCAGGGATGCTGCTCAACATCATACAATGCACAGGACAGCCTTCCCCCTCCCTCAAAAAATGTCAGTAGTGCCAAAGTTGAGAAACCCAGTTTAAAGTATGAGTTCTAAACTTAGAACCATAGAAGATAAAGAACAAAAAAATGAGATTCTGGCCTCAGTCCATCCTCTGTCCCCAAAAGTTTTGAAGGAGACCGTAGTTGGTTTTAGAATTCTTAAAGCAAACCCTGCATTGTACCTAGATATGGTGCCTACCAAAGATATGGAAAACCAGAACAAGATAGGCACTCCCTGTAACAGATCTTTTCCATTTTATTCTTGGATATATTGGGTCTCTGCCGGACCTTAATTTGGAGAGGTTGGCTGGGTGAACAGAACTAATCCAGAGGCTTTAAGCATGACATCATGAGTTCTTGCAGTCTCCTCCATATCTGAGAGAGTGTGGATTTCTTTCAACGTTGCCATCCCCAGGGAACTATCTTGAGATGGTTCAACATTAGCCTTTAGTTAAGTATTGGTGCATGTGTACATATCCTTGTTGCTCTATTAAGTCTTAACAAGGTAGGTTAAAATGCGATAGTGTCTAAGACATGCCCTAGAGATAAAATTAATATGGGTAGACCAACTAGAGGATAATCGACTGCATTAGAATTCCAGGAGTAGTTGTATAGACAAAAAAGTATTCTCACTAGGCTACATGGAAGTGATAGGAACTTGCATAATATCTTGAAGCAAAGGAAAGAAAGAGGACATTCTGGGCTTGGTGGGGAGGTGGCGGATAAAATGAGTAAAGGTGGTTGAGTGTGTATTTATCAGAGAGAGAGAATATGCGAGAATAATCCCTGCATGTCCTGATGAAAAGCAGATGCTTCTTTCCCCAAAGGGAAGATAAGCAGTTCTTTGGCCAACTTGATTATATAAACTTGTAGGGATGGTAGCTTATTGATGAAAGAGTCAAATGTCTACCTGTAATATTTCAGTTCACCAAAATATGCACATATATTTAGAATCGTGTATTTTATTGAAAAATGTTGCTTTTTCTACTCACGTTTTATAAAACAATTTTAAGTAAAAGTTGTGACTTGTCAATTAAAATTTCTGTAAAAACTGGTAAGCAAATTATATAGTGCAATTTGGAAATTAAGATTTAGTGAGAGGGGCCGGCCCCGTGGCTTAGCAGTTAAGTGTGCACGCTCTGCTACTGGTGGCCCGAGTTCAGATCTTGGGCACGCATCGACGCATCGCTTCTCGGGCCATGCTGAGGCGGTGTCCCACATACAGCAACTAGAAGGATGTGCAGCTATGACATACAACTATCTACTGGGGCTTTGGGGAAAAGAAGGAGGAGGATTGGCAATAGATGTTAGCTCAGAGCTGGTCTTCCTCAGGAAAAAAAAAAAAAGATTTAGTGAGAGATGAAACCTTCAGAACACTAATTTGATAGTCACAGTCATGAAAAACATTCTCTTCACATCTCTGTTCTGATGAAAAGAAATTTAAGACGTATATCATTTAAATTATTAGTGAAAAGTAAATAATACTGAGGAAATATTTCAGTATATATATAGCCTTATAATAAATGTATTTTTAAAAAGTTGCACTATTCCAAAAGAGATGGCTTTTTTAGAGTAATTCTGCAATAAAGCCTGGGTTAAGTGAAAACTATCCCTTACTGATCTGGTTAGGTTTGGGGTGTCTTATTGAGTGTTACATTAAATTTTTGACCCATGAAAAGAAATTGTGGCTTTGCCTTTCATATTATATTTTAGTAGTCTTTACCATTCAAGCTTCCTCCATTTCTAAATGATATTTTTGTAAATAACATAGGAAAACTACTCTTTTATAACTTTTCAAGTATAAACTTTGTCATAATTTTTAAACTCTTTATTTTAAGGAAGAGGAGGTTTCTCCACAGTTGTTTACTTTCCACGAAGCTGTCTCACAAATGGTAGAAATGGAAGAACAAGTTGTAGAAGATCACAGGGCAGTGTTCCAGGTAAATTAAGACGGGACCTTTCATCAGAATGTTTCTTTAGAGAAATTAACTGAAAATTTTCATAATTCTTTGAATATCACACTAATCAAAAAATACTTGTTTGCCTCTATGTATATATGTGTATTTGTAGGGCATGTGACGTGGCAAATTTTGAATAGAACGAACGATAGCTACAAAAAACCTTTCTCTGCACTATGGTAAAAAGATCCAGTTTATTTACCACCACTCTTGCACTTGATTTGCTTTTGTCAGTTGTCCATTTTTAGAAGAGGATTGAGGGCCGGCCCCGTGGCTTAGCGGTTAAGTGCACGCGCTCCGCTGCTGGTGGCCCGGGTTCAGATCCCGGGCGCGCACCGACGCACCGCTTCTCCGGCCATGCTGAGGCTGCGTCCCACATACAGCAACTAGAAGGATGTGCAGCTATGACATACAACTATCTACTGGGGCTTTGGGGGAAAAAAAATAAATAAATAAAATTATAGTGTATTGCTGAAGGAAAAGAAAAAGTACTGATGTGTGTGTATTTTAATCGATACATATATAGTTTTCTAATAGATACCTATACCTAAGTTAACCAGTTCTGCCTGGTGATACATAGTCTAATTATTATTAGCCATTAGATTGCATTGATGTTTGGAAAACTGAAATTGTATGTACCCTAAAAAGTTAGAAAGTGCCCATTGTTGTGTCCAAAAAACTCGTTAATTCAGACTGATCTGACCTTGTTAATAGTCCATGACTCATGACATTGCTAGAAAATGAAACTCAGAAATTCTACATATCTAAGATCAGTTAAGAATGGTTTTCCTAGAAGCATTTGTGAATAGTAAGTAGCTACTATTTAGTCATTCATTTGTTCTAAAATTGGCTATCCCCACTGGTCCACTTAGAATCACAATAATGGTGAAGTCACTATAATGTTGAAAAGCTAGTGTTTAGAATTTAGGGTTACCTCTTGGCCCAACCACTGTGAGGCCCCAAGTGGATATGTTAGTTCCATATGATTTACAAGTTCTACGTTACTATAGACCTCATCAGATTGCTCAGTAGTTTTATTATACCCATTCTCCCAGTTTTAGGGATAGTTTCTTAGACTTACTCTGGTCATTGATATTGATGTGTTTGATTCATTCCTTTCCCAAACCCCCACCCAAAGTAGAATAAAAGTAGAAAATTGGAGTCCTCTTGCTTGGCCTATCATATTTGTGTTTTAAGGAAATATTTCTTAATTTTACCCTGTAAATAAAGATGTTTTATGGTTATTAATATTTTAGAGAATAACATCTTCAGTATGTTTGATTATATTTAACATATATAAAATTTGTAAATTGGTTTCTGTCTTACAAAGAGGCTTATTAGATTATTGAATTTTTGTCCTTTTAGGAATCTATTCGATGGCTAGAAGATGAAAAGGCTCTCCTAGAAATGACTGAAGAAGTCGACTATGATGTAGATTCATATGCTACACAACTTGAAGCTATTCTTGAGCAAAAAATAGACATTTTAACTGAGCTGCGGGGTAATTCTTTTTTCATTTTAATGGTGTCTGAAATCTGCTTAATATTGTATGTAATTAGTGGGAGGATTTCATATTGCAAGAGGACATCTGAAGTGAAAAGTATGGGCACCATTTAACATCTTTCTAGAGGTCTATAGGCAAACCAACCATTCTGTTTTTCCTGAAAAAAAAACATGGAGTATCATTTCAGGTGCTCTCTAATCATCTTTTTTCTTTTAGTCTTTTGAGAAGATCAAGACATCTTATGATTAAAGAGGGAAAATGTATTCTAACCAACTTGTAAATTCTATATACCCATTCATATTTTTAGGTTGGTAGGCCAATGCTTTTCAGAATTAATTTCCTTGGATTAGATCTATTCAGGGTCATCTTTCTATAGCCTCCTATCTGCATCTGCTTTCTGTGTATCTTGTCTCTTGTTTTTCCTTTGAACACTTGTTTTAAAAAATCAAGGGGAAGATTTCAAGACAACTACCCTTTTCCTTTGCTTATGAAGGGAAGCATGTGGCCAACCCACATGCCATGTCTTTTTGGCTTTTTAATGAGCTTCTCTGTGCAGCTTCAGATCTGCATTTATTGTATGTGCTAATTTCTTAGGCACTGCCAAATTAGCTGTCTCCATTTATATGCAAGTGGGCATCTGTATGTGTTTGTACATGGAAGGCAACATGAAACCAGATTGAAATTGCTAGTTTTTAGCACCAAACCAGCTGCTTAATTTTTAAAACTAGGTCCTTTGTGAAGTTGGTTATTTGAAATCATTTCCTATAGTCAGCAGTCACCATTTCCCCAATTGAGAATTGTTTGTGCAGATGCAGGGTTTCTAAAATTTACTTTTGTTTTTCATGTTCTTAATATTCAAGCCTTGATTTAAAGTGTTTTCATCATTTTTCTAATCTGCCGTAACTCACAAGCATCTTTTCTGTATGCATTTTATTCAGAAGACATCTCGTAATGCATTTTAATTTTTTTCTCTGTAATATGTAACATTCAATTTAGAAAACTTCCTTTCTTTAATTTTCTCAGGATTCATGTATATCAAACATATCCATAACTTTAAGGAAATCACTATTTAGATATTGTATTATTCAGTCCTTTCTTAGGAAAAAAAACTTTTTTACCATCCAGAGATAATTTTGGTAATAATGTAAGAAGTTTGAGAGCCATTGTCTTATATTCATTAGCAGGCACCAGATCCAGAAGTCCTTGAACTCCTTTCTAAATTTCAGAAAAGTCAACGTTTTTAACATCCTTGTACTTCTGAAGAGGGGAAAGAAATTGAGATTCCAACTTTATATCTTTCTTTTCTTCTGAAGGCCATAACCTTTGCAGCATTAACACATTTGAAGTTGAGTAATTCTTTATTGAGGGGTGCTGGTCCTGGACCAGCATCGGGGTCTCTATTGACTAAATGACAGTAGCACCACTCCAGTTGTGACAATCAAAAATGTCTGTAGACATTACCAAATGTCCCCTATGGGGGCAAAAATCACCCCTGGTTGAGAACCACTGTTAGAGAAAGATTTCTTATCTTCACAGCTGTTATTTGCCTCTGCCAGTTTATGTACTTATTTCTTATTCTTATGTGATTCTGAATCAGTACGTGACAGATGGTAAGACAGAATTGTAAGATCAAGAAGTGTATTATCCTGTAATCCCCCTTCCCCATTCCCTTTTACAGTCCCTGATAGGAAAAAAATGACATTTCTTTTTAAAAATTCAAATATCTTTTAAAATTTCGTAGCTTGAAAAGGTAAAATAGGAATTGGGAGTAGAAATTTCCTAATATTGAGAGAAGAAATGTCTATTTTTACAGCTTAATAAGATTCACAGTGTTCCTTTTGGACATGACTGTACATATTTTACACACATATGTAGCCTGTCTACACTCCAAAAGAAATTCAAATAAATTAAAATTGAATACTGTTAAATGTGCCAAACAGAACAGAAACCTATTGAAAATGTAGAAAAGAACAGGTATTTCCAAGAATCTGTAAGGAAATTGTTGCTATAGTTGAGCATTGTATTTAGTTCTGAGTTTCTGGACAACAAAGAACAAAAGGAAAAATCCTGAGTTAATGTTATATGACTTGATAGGACCCCAAAGATGTATACTTAATGTATGTAATGCATACTCATGCCCTTGTTCTTTTCTTTTTCCAAGATAAAGTGAAATCTTTTCGTGCAGCTCTGCAAGAAGAAGAACAGGCCAGCAAGCAAATCAACCCGAAGAGACCCCGTGCCCTTTAAATTGGCATTTGCTGCTAAGGATCCCCAGAACCCTCACTACTGTAACATACAATGATTCAGCTGTAAGGGCCATTTGAAAGTTTGAAATTTTAAGTGTCTGTGGAAAATGTCTTGTCCCTTCACCTGAATGACATTTCAATTTTGTGAAACACTCCTTTGTCTACAAAATGCTTCTAGTCCAGGAGGCACAACCAAGATTTGGGAATAGTGAAGCATTTTGTTTCATTAACCCAAATATTGATTTACTTTTGGAGATCCTTGCCAATTTTATTTTCTATATGATGAAGTAAGATTGTGGACTTGATCCAGAGGTGAATAGTGGGGGGATGCCACAGCATTTCCTGTTAACTCGGTTCGATTTTTATAGCAAGACTGAGCAGTTTTAACTCCTTTGCGTGCATGCATACCTCATCAGTGATTGTACATACCTTGACCACTCCTAGAGACCGCTGTGCTCACCTCTCCCTGCTCTGTGCCTTGACTAAGGCTATTGACCCTAAATTTCTGAAGCACAGCCAAGATAAATTACATTCCGTATTTGTCCTTGTAAATTACCTTTATTGTGTGTACATTTTTACTGTATTTGAGACATTTTTTGTGTGTGACTAGTTACTTTTGCAGAATGTGCCATACATTGAATGGAACTAAAGTCTGTGACAGTGGACATAGCTGCTGGACCATTCCATCTTATATGTAAAGAAATCTGGAATTATGATTTTAAAACCATATATGTGGTTATAATTTTCTTAGCATTTCTTTGTAAAGAACTAAAATATAAACTAGTTGGTGTATAATAAAAAGTAATGAAATTCTGAGAAGAGTTTTATCTTAGGATAATACATATATGCAGTGTGTGTTCCAGTGTGGTATTAACAAGACTAATAGTGCAATTTGATCCTTACCAATACCGTTACGTAAGTTGAAGCGTCCATCGGCATCCCAAAATGTACCGTTTAAATGTACTGCTAAAGGAAATTGGCTTCTGATGCATGAACATTTACATGTACATCGAAAGTAGTCTGTAATAGAACTGTTAGTTTAAGCCAAGTGTAGACAGTACATAACTCCCTTGAAAAAGAATTAAGCTAAAAAAGAGTTGACTTTGCCTTAAAAGGCAGATCTAACCTAGGCTCCATCCATTACCTAATGTGTGATGTTTCACCATTATTTGGTGAGAATCACCAAATTCTCACCAATAAACTGATCTAGGGTATGCTACTTTTCAAATGGTGGCACTTATCTTTACAGATTGCTACTCCGAGGAAGAAAACTGGCCACTTTTCATGTACATATTTTGTTAAAAGATTTATATTGCTCTCTAGGAGTTTTCCCTCAGTTCCCAGGATGGAGTCCAAGAGTAGATTAAAAACAACAAAAAGTCTCCCAAGGATATCTTGTTTGGATTGACTCTAAGGAACTACAGCTCATTCATATGGGCCCAAGGGAAGCTATGAATAGAGAGTCACATGAGCCAGATTCCTACTTCACTGTTCATAGAACTCAGAGGGTAGTGGTGGGAAATCCTAACACCATGGTGAAATGCTCCTCTGTAAACTTGAAATCTAGAACAAATGTAGATTTTCACAATGTGCTTATTAATAAATGAAATCTATGGAATGAGTTTTAGAGATAATTTACTTCAATACAATCACCTTTGTTTTGGAAGGGACTCAGGTTTTCTTGCAGCTGTAAGATATGTTCTATTTGTGTTTATTTCAAAGAGAAGAGGAACTGTTACTATTGACCTTGCAGAGGCTTTTTAAAAAGGTAGATTTTGAGGCTAACCAACCTTCAAAGGGCAATAAAGAGTTGTGAACTTGCTCTTTTAAAGCACAACAGATTAGTCTTAACTTATTATTTAAATTAGATGAGTACTATCTCTGGAAGGTCTCCTTATATCCAAATATGCTGCTTTATACTGTAATGGCTTCATTCTGATCAGTAACCAAGGTATATAAAGAATTGGTACCAGAAAAGATCTTGGTAGTATAATCCAGTCCTTCAGTTTTACAGATAGATAGGCAAAACCGAAGGCCAGAAAAGGGACTAAAACTGAGCGGTTCATAGGGGGAAAGGGAAATAGAGGGAATGCTAAATTAAATCTTAAAATGTTGCTGTAAGGATACAGACAGTACAAGTGAACTTTGCAAAGTAGTTTTGTGATACTTAAAAAAAACTCTTAATGTTTATGTAACAAAAGTGGCTTGATGCAGCTATTATTTAAAGAATAATTTTTTGGATCTGGATTAAACATTATTTACTTTCTCAGACTTGAAAGCTGATATCCCTCTTAATAAGTAACTAAGAAAATATACATTCTTTTAATTATATAGGAATGTTTTAATACATCACGACTTGAAGCCAGATTTCAAAAAAATCTGTTTAGGCAAACAATTTATCTTCCCTTCTAGGTTTACTCAGTGTACCTTTGTTAAAATAATTCAGAAACACTCCTGTTAAGTTAGGTATAAAGAAAGGCAAATATCAATAAAGATTTTTTTATTAATTTCCTTATATAAATAATCAGCTCCTATAATTCTTATTAAAGGACATTAACAACATTTAGTATTATATTGATAATGATTTAAACATAGTAGCTAACTAAGACTTGTTTATGACATCTATTAAATTTTCAACCTGACATTTTAAAAATAGCTTCAAACTAAGCATCAGGTATATGAAAAAGTACTGGAAATTTTAACTATCCAGAAGTCAGATGGATACTGGAAGCCTGTAGTTGTAGGAAAATGGCTGGTTGGGTTTTTTTGTTTGTTTTGAAATTGAAGGGCAGAGATTTTCATTTTAAGGCCAGTTTTGATTTATAAAAACTCTGAAATTTTGTTAAACCTATGACTATCTCCCCAAGAAAAAACAATCTTATAGTTCATTTCATTCTAGTTGAGCATCCTTGTTTCACAGGTAAGGAATCATGCCCAGAAGCGATACGCCTGGCACCACATAGTGGCAGCTGCAGACTCAGGCTTACCCAGAGCCCTGATGTAGCCTGTGATGCTACAGGATAGCTGATGGGGGAGGCAATGACAGAAGTTGTAAAGGATAAAAAGAGAAAGAATGAGAGAAGCAAGATAAAAACATTTTAAGAAACAATTGTTTTACTGCATACATGAATAACAAGAAATGGTATGGGGAATATGTGACTAGCGTATTGTAGCTTTTTTACTACTTGAGGGACAAAGGCCTAAAGAGCTGAAGGCCTAAAGAGGTCCTCACAGTAATATATAATAGAAAATAGGAGAGTAACATCTTTATACAATAAACTGTTAGAAATGATAAGTTTAAGTGTAAAGTTGTGCGTGTCTGCGGCTCTTGAACTTGAAGATTATCATGTATAGATTGGACCCTGCCCTATGTTCAATTTTAAAAACAAACCAAAACCAAAAAAAAAATTGGAGTACTTAGAATTGACTGACTTACTACCTTGAAAATTCAGAGTAATAAATGATGACAACAGTAGTATAAATCAAAAATAGTCAAGCACATAGTGTCCCAGTAGAGCAAAAGCATAGTTCATCTTCTCAAATTATTAAAAGTATACAATCCCAGTTTCTTTTCTTGAATTTGAAACATTCTGTCTTCCAGATACCTAAGAAAAATGGATACCTTCTGCATTGAATCCATGTAGCAATCTGAAAAAAGCAACCGAAATGAGATGGTATTGAAAAGCTAATTTGTAGCACGTAACAGCGCACAGTTCCTATACCATGAATTCTAAAACATGAACACATCAGCAGACATATGAAGCCCACCCACTCCTAACACTAGTCATTAAAGTTTATTCTTCAACTAAATTTATAACATATATACTGGTTAAAACCACATCATTTTGCTGCCTCTTTTGTCTGTATGTCTTAAGTTATTATGAATTGGACTAAAAATATCTTCGACCTCCACTATCCCTGTCCTAACAGCTCATAGGCATTTGTTCCATTTCAACATGGTAGGTGAACAAGAAGTTATTTGGAATTAGAGACACGAGAGATGAATGGCTAATCTTACATGTCCATTCTTCCTCTCTGAGCTCACTGTTACTGAGGTTCAAATTAAATATTTACACGCTGCTTTTCTCTGGATACCTATGTACTTATGAGATCATAGTTAGCAAACTGTATATACTTAATAACCTTGAAGAAGTCTGGTGAGAATGAAGGAAAGTAAGATGAAATATTTCTATTTAGACCTGAGATTATTTTCAGGATGGCCCATAGGAACAGGTCAAGATGGGTTAAAATGTCTGAAAAAGGAAGATAGGTACTTAAGAATAATGTTCAACTCCTAAGATTAATATCTAATAAACACTCAGTACTGCTAGCCTGCCAGTATAAAATATAAACCCCATTTGTCTTAGTTATATAGAACTGTGTTTCCAACTTAGAAAAGTCAAACCAATGACTTCTCCTCATTTTTTATTCAGCTCCTAGAACATGGAAGCTTTAAAAATGAATTGGCTCAACAGGCAAAAACTTCTGTGCAGTAAGTGATGGTTTATTAGTTAGGAAATCAAAGTGTTAGTGATTAAAAACAGTGAGTACAGGTTAATAATTACTTGGGTAATTGAAGCCTTACTCTGCTTTCGTAAGACTTACTTGCTTAATTCAAGGAAAATAAATTTTGGTCTACATTGCCCAGATACTTATGACAACTTTCTTTTACTTCAGGTGTGTAGAACTTGCCTCAGTCTACAAAACAGGTAACTATACTACTAAACCAGTTAGAAATGATAACCAGATATGATTGTAACTGACATTATTTCATGCTTAGGATCTATTTAACAATAGCTATTCCCAATAAAGAAAATAAGATCCAACAACATGTATTATGATTCTTCTACCTTACAGGCTACTTTGAAGAGACAAACTATGAAGACTGACTATGAATGGGAGTTGGGGGAGGGGGTTGGACGGGAGGAGCACACATACCACAGGGACACAGAGGCTTTCTCCAGGCTTGAACTGTTCTTTACTACTGTTCTTAAAGAAAATGGTCACTCTGCTGCAGCTAACTAGCCTCCATCTTCTACACCAAATACTATTCCATGCCATGGAAGTGCTATGCAATAACTCCCAGGTAGCACTTTATACCGCTTAAAAGCCTTTAAATCTAATCTGAAGGTGTCACAGTAGAGAAATGTAAACACTTAGAAAAATGTAATTACCTGATGAAGTCATCTATGTCCATGGAACGGGCACGCTTGTCACTAAAACCTGTGCTGGTTAGGATTTGCTGTATTTTATCTGCTATGCTGAAATCTTCTGGTATTATCTATAATATAAGATTCAGAATAAATGAACAACGTATCTTTAATGAAGTCACATTGACTCTTTTTTTACTTCAATAAGTCATAAAATAGTCACCTTTATTCATGACAGTTTGGAAAGCCCACTTGTGCAGATAAGACTTGAAAATATTAAGTGTTTCATACTTCACATCTTTAATCCAAAGATCTTTATGTTTTGTTTTTTTTTTTTTTGTGAGGAAGATCAGCCCTGAGCTAACATCCGTGCCAATCCTCCTCTTTTTGCTGAGGAAGACCGGCTCTCAGCTAACATCTACTGCCAATCCTCCTCCGTTTTTTTTCCCCAAAGCCCCAGTAGATAGTTGTATGTCATAGCTGCACATGCTCCTAGTTTCTGTATGTGGGACGCGGCCTCAGCATGGCCAGAGCAGCAGTGCGTCGGTGCGCGCCCGGGATCCGAATCTGGGCCACCAGTAGTGGAGCGCACACTTAACCACTAAGCCACGGGGCCAGCCCAATCTTTCTTAATCCAGTTCAATATTTTCCTACTTAAGCAGGTTTTTAATGACTTTGTCCATAAAAGAGAAAACAAGTAGCAGTGTGGTACATTAAACCATAGATCTGAGTCAAAAAATACAAAGGAAATTTGTTTTTATCTGTCTGCTCTGTTTAATTAATCTGAAAGAACTAATAAGTTATCAAACATCACATAGTCTTTATATATGAATATGTGTATATGTTTGCTCATACACACTCAAAACTGGTTTAAAAAAATGTTGCAGGGCTGGCCCAGTGGCATAGCATTTAAGTTCGCACGCTCCACTTTGGCAGCGTGGGGTTTGCAGGTTCGGATCCCGGGCACAGACCAATGCACTGCTTATCAAGCCATGCTGTGGCGGCGTCCCATATAATGTAGAGGAAGATGGGCATGGATGTTAGCCCAGGGCCAACCTTCCTCAGCAAAAAGAAGATTGGCAACAGATGTTAGCTCAGGACTAATCTTCCTCACAAAAAAAAAACGTTGCACAGATAATGACAATGAAGAGGCATGAGGCTCACAACCAGAAATGTGCTATGTGGTCTATGCTTTATTCTAATTTCAATTTCTAGGTATTAAAAAAAGTCACTGAGAAAATGGTAACTTTAAATTTGTAATTGCTACATGAGCAACAAACAAGAAGGGACGGTTACAATTCAGAGAATGGGAAATGGTACACAATTTTTGTAAGCTGAGCAAGCTACACATGCCTAAAGTTTGAGAAAATTATGACTCAGCTGAATCCCTTTTTTGTAATAAAAAACAACTGTCAGGAGTTAACGAGGATCGAGTGGAGTAATCAAGGTTGCTCAGATCTGTTCCACAGACTGCAGCAGCACTGACCTGTCAGAGTGCCAGTTGTGCTAGTTATATATTACATACTGGCATTTAAGGATCCTATAGAATGTAGAAACTCAAGAATATTGTAATGATAGATGAAAAAGAGTAAGAAACAGAGGGACATTTTAAAATACAACAAATCACTGAAACCACAGGAACATTTTCTGCTTACAGTATTATGGACTGAACAGTGAATTCTGTAATTTTTTTCCAATAGCTGTTGCACTGCACTTGACCTAGAGCAAAAAGTGATATCCACTATTATTATCCCAAAATCAGAGATTATAAATAATTTCCTTTCAGTTTATAATATTAAATCTATATTCCATATGGTGAAATTAAGGAGCTAAAAAAGGTATTGAATATTTAACCTTAGGAAACAATCACAAACTAGTTATATTTAAAAGTAAAGTCCTAATACACATCTCTTAAATTCTTAGAGAAGTTTTAGACTCCAGAAAACATCACATCAAAAAAGAAAAAAATCTAAAATTATGGCTTTCAGGGGAAGGGAGGAGGGCAAAAGGGATAATTCGGCACATGTGTGTGGTGATGGGTTGTAATTAGTATTTGGGTGGTGAACATGATGTAATCTATGCAGAAATAGAAGTATAATGATGTACACCTGAAATTTATACAATGTTATAAACCAATGTTACTGCAATAAACGAAAAATTTAAAAAAAAAAGAAAAAATAAATAAAATTATGGCTTTCACTTCTCTTTTGCCCTGGGGCCCCAAACTGCTGTTACATTTTTCCAAGTTAATAAAATGGCACAAATCTTTCACAAGTGTAGAAGGGAGTCTATCGTGATCCCTTCTTTCCAAGGAAAACTAAGCAGATGTGCGGTCAGTTTTCGGTTTTTTCCCTATTTTGCAAAAAAACCTGATCTAATTCCCAACTCCAGGAAATTCCTTCCTTACATTCTCCTGCCTCCCAAAGTAGAAAGTTAGTTTAAAAAGTAAAGTGTGTCTAGACGTGGATAATCTTTATGCTTCAGGGCATCTGTTCAGGAAAAGGACCAATAGTCCAGCACTTGGCACAGTACATGGAGCACTGGGTCTTCATACATTACAAGTTAGTACAATACTTACTTAAACGCAGCAGACAGGGTCTTGTTTTTCCTAACAAAGGTGATCCGTACTAAGCCATCCCATTCCTGAAAGAGAATATGGATATTTTCTTACAAAATATCAAACCTTACCTATGCCTGCTAGGTATTCTTTTTGTCTTTTAATATATAAAACTGAGAAGAACCTTCTGAAGTGATGAAAATGTTCTATATCTTGATCTGGCTGACACACATGTGCAAAAGTAAGATGTATACTTGATTTTTGCACTTTTGTGCACCTCACTGAATATTTTATCCTCAATTTTAAAAATCAGAAAATATATATCATTGTTCTACATCTGAACAAAGAACAACATGGCATTTATTTAAATCTAAGTATCATTTTCAAATGATTTAGAATAGAGGCTGTGCAACACACCTAAACCCCACTGAAGGAGTAATTGACAAACCATCCCATTTACCACCAGTTACTGACTACACAAGCAATCGTGTTTCTATCCAAAGCGACTACAGTAAGGTTTTATATCTAGTCTTCTGGCTTGCTTCTCTTTTTAAATTGCGAAAACAAGAATTTTGATTAAAAAGTGTTACCTATAATATTATTCTACCAACTATTTTCATTTTATCTTGTTTTCCAAGTCTTATTCAAATAGATACATGTTTTCTGCAGCTATAATCTTCAGCAAAATGCAGTGATATCTAATCTTTTTACCTTTTGCAAACATTTTCCATGCTTTTTCGTGGTCTTCACAACTATCTTGTCAAATTATTCCATCTACTCCATCACAGAGATGTATCATAATTAACATTTTTCTGTTTGTGCATTTAGGTTGACTCAATATTTTTCTGGCGCTATAGACACATCCTCCAGCTTGGACTTTTTTCCCTTTTACTGAATGACCTAGTATTTTAACCTCACCTGAAAATTGATAGGTGGTGGTGGATTCTTAGGTTCTATCCTTACGACACTGGATTCCACCTTAGGTGGTGGCCTGAAGTTATTCTTTCCGACCTGTTAATCAGAAAATGTTTAAGTAGACCTCTCAAAAAGTTTAAATTAGTAATTAAATCTTTTTGTGTGTGTGTGAGAAAGACTGGCCCTGAGCTAACATCCAATGCCAATCCTCCTCTTTTTGCTGAGGACGATTGGCCCTGGGCTAACATCCATGCCCATCTTCCTTTACTTTATAGGGGACGCCGCCACAGCATGGCTTAACAAGCAGTGCGTTGGTGCGTGCCTGGGATCCGAACCTGCAAACCCCGGGCCACCGCAGCAGAGCGCACGCACTTAACCACTGTACCACCAGGCTGGCCTCTAAATTAGTAATTATAACTATACTCTCCTCACAGAAAGCACAGCTAGATGCTCAAGATGAATCAAGCCACATTATTTCAATAATAGTCACTTACTTTCATTAGATGGTCTACACGTGCTAACAGCTGTGTATTAATTGATAGTCTGCAATATAACTTATCTCCAGGTTTTGCAACCAGTCGCAGAGCAAATTCTCTTTGAAACATAAGTACAGCACATCTGAAAAGGCAACAGAAAGGAAGAGGAAAATGGTCACGTTCTACTATAAAGGTATTTTCACATCAATGAATTTTCTTGGGTGGGAAATAGAGCAAAGCAATATCTGTGGTTCATGATAATTAGTCCAGCTAGTTAGAAGGTAGAACACTTTCAGCCACAACATGATCCAGCTGGCTTTTTTATTTTATACTGGCTGTACCGCTAACCCCTTGCAACTGTAAGCCCTCAGTGATCAGATGAGGAAGTATTTCAGATCAGCTCTAGTCCATCACCCATTCCAGGAAAACAAAACCCAAACACAACTGGCTCAGTAGGCGAACTGTACTCATGGGGTAGCAAACACCCTGATGGAAGAGCTGAGGCAGGAGGCAGGTCACGACATCAGCGTCGCCTGATGTCACAGGCTAAGGCATGTGGACTTTCTCTTCAGCAAGCAATGCGGAGGCTTTCCAGTCTTGACCTGGAGAGGAGACCCTTCAAAGCTGGGCTTCAACTTGCACCCTTTTTTGACAATAAGTCACACTAAGAAATACATTTGACATTGCCATCCAGGCCGCAAATATCTGTACGTATATGTGTTTATGTAACTCAAAAGTTTCATGAAACTGTAATCATCTGGACCACATGCAGTGAATGCCCTCTGATATATTCCATGTCATTAAAAAAATGAGTCCTGTCTCACTAAATTTAATTTATAACCACTACGGGGTTTTTGACGTGCAGTTTGAAAACCACTGGTATAGACCATACTAGAAACCAGTCAGATGGCCAGTGCAATTGTCTACACATAAGGTAATAAAAAGTCAGACCTGGACTAATGGCAAGAGGATTAGAAAACAGAGAAAGGCCGTCTGGTCTCAGAAGCAGGACTGACACCATACCTCCCCTCCCCCAGTTAACTGTCAACGGAAAACAGAAAGAGAAAGACCTCCACACAAATTGATATCGTCTACAAAACAAATTCTCCAATAAATTGATATCGTCTACAAAACAAATTCTCCAATAGTTTTTCAATTGAATTAACTTCATCTTTGGCCGTCTGTGTTCATGGCCTGAACTGTCAATCTCTCTAAGATGTGGCAGTAACTTTGGTCTTTTGTCACAAACCTGAAAAAAGGTCGGTGCAGCAACAGCTTGAAGACAAAAGGAGAAGAGATCTGTAAGAGAATTAACTAGTTATTTCTGGGACAGACACACCGGAGAGACATTTAGTAAAATGTTCCCGACAATTTGAAAGCATACCTGATAAGGCAAATTTGCCACACAAGCATCAAAAAATGGCAAATCTGTTTTCAACACATCACCCACCATTACTTGAAGTTTGCTGGCCAGAGGCCTGATAATAAGAAAAAAAGCAGTTAAAAAAGAATACTGTTTCATGAGATTGAAATGCATTTTAATTCTATTATGTATACTCACGTGCCCTGAACTCTTTTGTGAAGTTCAGCTACTAGCCTTGGGTCAAGTTCACAGGCAATTACCTAAATTGAAAAAAACAATTTGGGGGGGTTAATTATGGAGTAAAAATCTTTTCCTATTATCTCAGTAGTAACTCTTACATGACTTACATGAATTAAACTTATTTTCCCAATTCTACCATCAATATTCCTTCAACTGTACTCTACCATTTCAAACAACAAAAAATACCACCCAGAAAAGTAGACAACCAGACTATGTGAGTTCTACCCAAATAACTGACAAAATGATCATGCTTAATTGGCTCCATGCTTCGTAACTGAACAGCGGATTAAAAAAACACACAAAATGTCTGTGCAGTAAATGTTCTTAGAAGCATACAAAGCAACTGCTCCTAGAATGAGTATGACACTTACCTACTAAGACCCAGAGTATATAGCATAGATAACTTCTCAAGGAAATGAAAAGGGACACCAAATAAGGCTGAAATTGTCATTTAATTCAATATCAGCTGAGGTTTTACTGACTTCCAGGAAGACCATGTCTACAGAGTAGATATATATGCTGCTTAGTCTGTTTAGCTCCTGGATCCACTCTCCAGCTTTCTCTATGCCCTGTAGGGTGATGCAGTCCAGTTCCCTTGCCATTTGACTTCCAGGTGGGATTAGCCAGTGAAAGGTACCAGCATGAGAGGGTGCAAGGGGGGAGGTGGAATATTTCCTAATGCCTGCCCCATGCCCGCAGGAGTTCTGGCGGCGGCTGTGTCCCACCGTGAGTGGCCCCTGTTCAGTGGTCCCGCTCTTACTGGGCTCCTGTAACACAGTTCCCTCCTCTTGCCCCTTGAGGCCTTTGGATGGTAACTGTTTCCTGTTGTTGCTAGTGCCTGGGTGTCTCACAAATGCTTACTGGTTCCCTTAACCCCATTCCCACATTTCGTAAATAGTCTCTTCATTAAACTCTCTTCAGATAAGGTCTTGAAAATGTGCTGCCCACTTTCCCCAGAGGACACCACAATGGTTCCATTCAACTGGAAACTGGGTCAACCAAGAGACAAACAGGTACCAGCAGTGGCCAGGGGGCACCTCAATCTCAGAGGCCTGTGGCTCCAGCTCTTCAGATCTCCTCCTCCAAAGCTCTAGGCCCCAGGAACTCCAACCTCCTCGCTCTGCTCCCCCGAGCCTAGAGGTGGTAGCCGCTCTTTGCAATTATTATTTCTGGGTTACCTCAGTGTTCCCATTTTATTCTTTTAGTCCTCTAACAATCATGTAACCGATTCCCTATATTAAATTCCCTGTACTGAAATATTGAATGCGGTTTCTGTTCCCCTGACTGACATATCCCATATTTTCTTTTTTTAAATTGAGGTATAATTGACACATAACATTGTATTAGTTTCAGGTGTACAACATAATGATTCAACATATGTATATACTCCAAGATAAGTCTAGTTAACATCCATCACCTCACATAGTTACAAATTTTTTTCTTGTGATGAGAACTTTTAATATCTACTCTCTTAGCAACTTTCAGATATACAGTATTGTTGACTACAGTCACCATGCTGCACATTACAGCCCCAAGAATTATTTATTTTATAACTGGAAGTTTGTATCTTTTGACCCCCTTCACCCATTTTGCCCATATTTTCTAAGATAAAGTTTCTAGCAAGGGACCAAGAGTGACTATTAAAACAACAGCAATTAATTAAAATAGATTGATATTGGTAACCCAGCTGAGCTCGCACATATAGTCATTTCTGACACAAAAACACTAAATCTCCTTTTTACCTTTTTTGCCTTTTCTAGCAACTTTACAGTCATATTGCCAGTTCCAGGTCCCACTTCCAGCACCACATCAGTTGGTCGTAAGGCAGCCTAGAAGCAAGCACAACCACTTCAGCTTCACTGGCACACCTGAAGACAGCATTCAATTTACACCTGAATATCTCTGCTCAAAAGCGCTTGGCGGGGCCGGCCCCGTGGCTTAGCGGTTAAGTGCGCGCGCTCTGCTACTGGCGGCCCGGGTTCAGATCCCGGGGCTCAGTGATGCACCACTTCTCCGGCCATGCTGAGGACCGCGTCCCACGTACAGCAACTAGAAGGATGTACAACTATGACATACAACTATCTCCTGGGGCTTTGGGGGGAAAAAGGAGGAGGATTGGCAATAGATGTTAGCTCAGAGCTGGTCTTCCTCAGCAAAAAGAGGAGGATTAGCACGGATGTTAGCTCAGGGCTGATCTTCCTCACAAAAAAAAAAAAAAGCACTTGGCGAAGAGGTCTTACTCTGACTCATTTTTAGAAGATTCCTTCATGCTCTACATGCTTAACAAAATCATCTCATTCACATTAGGTGCAAGTGGAAATGGAACACTTCTAACTTGGGGCAATAGTTAGGAGTCAGAAAAGCAGGAACAGCAGCTTTCTGGGATTGGCATTCTGCTTTCTACCTTGGAAATGATTCCAACAGCATCTTGTTACCAACTCAGTCATGAATAAGTTCAAACAGGAAAGGACGGTATATGATGACCTTGCCTGAGAATCTCAGCGTGTTGTACCAGGATTTCTCAATTCTCATCCCACATACGGTTTCAGGGACACAGGAGTACCAAGGAACTATACACAAAACCGGGTGTCCGTGTGCACACAGCTGCAGTATTCTGGGCCGATAGCTTTTATCAGATGCTCAAAGGAATCCATGAGCCAAAAAGATTAAAAAGCTAGGCCAACCCTCATTTTGGAAATGACACTAAGTCAAGATGAGATCCTTTATGTAATGCTCTTTCTATAGCTGCAGGATGCTTCCTTTGTAACCATGAAAGTAATCTGCACAACCTATATTTCATGTCCTAACACCCAACCACCCATAACAATAAGAGAACACCAATAACCTGTACAAGAGGAAAACTGCAAAGAATTGATATGGGTACTGGATTGTACCATGGAAGTTTCTCTGGGGAACAAACTTCCTAAGGTGTCTTTTAGACATATTTGTAGGTTCTGGAGTAAATAAAAACTAATAGTGTTAGACGGTGCCTAGAAAATGTGTTTGGGAATAGAAGACTAATAATCCGGAATTGAGCGAGCACAAATGTCCAGCTATGAAGTAAATAATCTACAGAAAGACACCGAATTTGGAGCCAGGAGAAACGCAGAGGGCATGAAGGAAATCATGCGGAAGACAGCTTATGAATCCTGGACAATTCTTCAACTCATTCAACAAGCATTTATACAGCACCTACTTTGTGTCAGGCATCCTCTCTACGCTAAAGTATTCCTAAGAATAAAATCAATAACCCAATAACGCTCTCCCTTTCCTCTTCCACACCCACCTTATCGATAATGCTGTTAACAATGAGAGGATTTTTCAAAATGTGCTGCCCAATCCCCGTGTTGAACATGAGTCCTGGAAGAAAACACGAAATAGCCTTAATTTCCCAACTAAAATTAGATATTAGACCGTCCCAGAGAAGAACGTAGGAGGGTTAGGGCAAGATTTCCGCGCCAACGAGAGGCACCAAACGTGACGCTGGGAGCCGGGGCTGACGCTTGAAGTCCACCCCTCCCGCCGGAAAGGAAGCCCGAGGCGGCGCGCAGGGCCTGAGGCCGGCGCCCGGGAGCCCCGGGACTTGCGCGCTCGGGGAGCGTGAGCCCCGACCGGCCGCCCTGTCCCGGCCCAGACCTTGCTCCGGGGCCCCCGGCTTGGTCCTGCCGGAAGACCCGACCCGACCCCGGCCCCCTCCCAGCTGTCCCACCTCCGGCGCTCTTCAGCTCCCGGCGCTGTTCTTGCCGCTGGCGGCGGCGGCCGCTCGCCCCTGACTTGATCTTCGGCATCTTCGCAGGCAGCGGACCCACAGGCCAGGGAAATCAGGGAGGGCCAAAGCCGGCCGCCACCCCGAGACACCGCACACGTGGACCTCGGCGCTCGGCACCACCGGCACCACTGCGGGCCACGTCGGGGAGGGGCGAGCACCCGCCCCCCAGTTCGCTCTGGGCTCCGCCCCCATACAGAGGGCCGACCTTGGAGCCCAGTGGCCGCCGGGAATTGTAGTCATGAGCTGGAGGACAGCCTAACCTCCGGAGCCTACAGATCCCAGAAGACACCGCGCTACCAATTCTGGCAATTTGGATTGGCTGGTTTGGAATTGGGGCGGGGTCTGTCGCGCCTATCTGCAGGCAGCTGTTTAAGTAGGTTTTGGTGTGGTGTTCTCGACGTTTAAATTACCAGCTGCGAAGAGGCCTCTGGATGCCTTATCAGGCCAGGTTCTGGGATCGCTGAAATCCAAAGATTTCTGTCTGTCATGTGCCTCACTTCTGTTTCTCAGCAGATTCTAGGGTGGGAAACCCAGGATCTTGGGATGGGGAGCTTGCTCCTTTGGGGGAGTAAGTTCTCCGCTGCTTGCGTTGTGGAAAGGATCTCCGAGAATGTCATAAGTAGCTAGTTCCACTAGGGCTACTAGTTGCTTCGTTTCCCTCTGTACCACGTCGTTCATTACCTAAAGTCGTTCATTACCTAAACATTTATTGAGCTCCAGCTGTGTATTAAACACTGCTGGGTGGTGGGGATTCAAAGTTAAATAGGAAACTGCTCTCCTCAAAGTTTATTCCATTGAGAGAGAGAGACAAAAAGTCTGAAACTCTGTAGACGTGGTAATTGGTCTGCATTGGGTACTGTGATAGGACGATGTATCCGACTGTACGCTCCATGAGTACAAGGTCTGTGTCTGTTTTTCCTGCCAGTGTAATGGCTTTCAGTTTTTAATGTTTCTGCGTGTGCCCTATTTCCTTGAAGAAACAGTTTTCTCTGTCGTTACCAAAGCTGACTCTTCCTGCGCAACTAACTGTGTGCATTCCCAAGCCTTGGTCTTTCTTTGCTGTAATTCTGAGGAAAAAACTCATATACCCTAGTAGCATCTTCAACTACCTATTTCATTCCATTAATCATTAATTCATTCTACAATTCTGGAGAATCTACAGTGTGCCAGGCACTGTGTCAAATGTTATGAATAAAAAGATGAACATGGGCCGGCCCTGTGGCGTAGCCGTTGGGTGCGCACGCTCCGCTGCTAGCGGCCCGGGTTCGGATCCCCGGCGCGCGCCGACGGGCCATTTCTCCGGCCATGCTGGGGCCGCATCCCACATACAGCAGCTGGAAGGATGTGCAGCTATGACATACAACTATCTGCTGGGGCTTAGGGGGAAAAAATAAAATAAAAAAATAAATAAAAGCAGGGATCAATTCATGTTCATCTTTTTTTATATATATAATTTTATTTATTTTTTTCCCCCCAAAGCCCCAGTAGATAGTTGTATGTCATAGCTGCACATCCTTCCAGCCGCTGTATGTGGGATGCGGCCCTAGCATGGCCGGAGAAGTGGCGTGTCGGTGCGCGCCCGGGATCCGAACCCAGGCCGCTAGCAGTGGAGCGTGCGCACTCAACGGCTACGCCTCAGGGCTGGCCCTGATCCCTGCTTTTAAAGAACTTTCTGTCAAAAGAGGGAGACATGCAAATAATTACAATAATAGCACCATTTGCTGATCAATTATATGTCTCGTACTTTAGGTACATTATCTCATTTAACCCTTTCAAACAGTTTTCTGAAATAGGTCTTATCATTATGTCCATTTTACAGATGAGGAAACTGAAGGACAAAAATGTTTACTATCTTGCTCAAGATCACACAGTAAAAATGATAGCCTTGTCTTGAACCTAGGTCTATGTTCCAAAGACTGTGCAGTTTAAAAGAGGTGTGATTATAGCAGTATGGCTAATATTTGAGGAAATTGTGGAACATTTTCAAAATATAATATTTGAGCTGAGTCTTTAAAGGACAAACAAAAATTAGCCAGGGGAAGATTGGGAATTCAAAAGGAACAGCACTCACAAAGCCAAGATAGAACGATGTTTAAGGAAGAAAAAGAAACTTAATATAGCTGAGGAGTAAACAGGTTAAGTAAATAGGGACTTATTGTGAAGAGTCTGAAAGGTTATGATGAGGAGCAATGGTGGTCATTGAGGAATCAAAACAACTATTTTGCCCTCTTTGCTCCTCTCCAGGCCATGATAACTGCTAGAGATCACACAGCAGTGCAGGTAGGACTCATGGGCTCCAACCCTGCCCAGCCAGCTCTTCTTGAATTCTCTCTGATCTTCCTCTCCCATTCTCAGTAAAGGATCTTCAAACCTTCTTAATTCTCCTCAGTTCTCCTGCCCTACCACCTCCCTAGCTCCTTCTCAGCAGAAGACCTTGCCTTTTACTTCACAGAAGGAATGCAAGATCACCTCAAGGACACTCTCATCTCCTGGGTCACTCTTCTACCCACTGGGGGTACAGTGGTGAGCAAAACAAAGTGGAACTTACATTCTAGTGGGGATAAACAGACATTATGTCAGGTGGTGTGAAGAAAAAAGTAAAGCAGAGGAGAAAGAGATCAACAGGGTGGGTGGGAGAGGCTATTTTATGTAGCATGGTAGACAATAAGGATGGGAACCAAATAATTTTCTTTAGGAGTAAAATAGCAAGACCCTCCTGAAAGAGGTCACATTTTAAGCAACATGAAACTAAGTGACTGAGGTGAGTGTGCACATTTAGCTTACCTAGGGACTAAATTGATGTTTGTTTAGGTATGAACGTTGACCCACCTGCATCAGAAACTCTAGGGCAAATGTTATGGGCTGAACTGTGTCCCCCCAAAATTCATATGTTGAAGCCCTAACCTCTAGTACCTCAGAATGTGACTGTATTTGGAGATAGGGCCTTTAAAGAAGTGACTAAGTTAAAATGACGCCTTCAGGATGTGACCTAATCCAATCTGACTGGGGTCCTTATGAAAGGAGGAAATCTGGAGACACAAAGAGACACCAGGGGTGGGTGTGCAAGAGGAAAGACCATGAGAGGACACAGGGAGAAGGCAACCATCTGCAAGCTAAGAAGAGAGGCCTCAGGGGAAACCAACCCTGCTGGCAACTTGATCTTAGACTTCCAGCCTCCAGAACTGTGAGAAAATACAATTCTGTTGTTTAAGCCACCTAGTCTGGGGTATTCTGTCAGGGCAGCCCTAGCAAACTAATACAGCATGTAATGAAAATTCACATTCTTGAGCCCCACCCTAAACATTCTAGATCAGAATAGGATTGGGCCCTGGCACATGCATGTTCATCAGACCCTCTAGGGGATTCTGATGCGTAGTGAAGGTGAGGATTCACTACTTTTTGCACTAAAATGGCAAACTTAGTTGAGGAGTTTCTACAGAAATGAAAAAATATGGGGTGGGCTACCATTATCAGTACAGGGAAATTGTTCTAATAATTGGGATCACTTATTATCCTGGCCAAATTTCATCCATTTTTTTTCAGTTAGTACCAAGGCAGCATTCAGATGTGAGACAATATTGGGTGCACCACAGATCCATCAGTCCTAGGGAATTGTGTGATGCTGGGATATGAGCTGCGTTAAAGAAATGAGCATTGGAAATTTATGCTGGAATGTATTTGAGTTATGTCTGCAGCTATGAATGGCTTTGTAATTATAAAAAATAATTTTATGCTTCTCTGGTTCATGTTTACATCCTTTGTTAATTAAAAATAATTATTTTTCAATTTGGTTGTGCACAATTGATTCATTGCCATTCTTATATTTTTTTTCTTGTTAATAAAATATATCATAATTTGAAAAAGAATTATAATAGCATTTGCTTTGGTAGAAGAAGAGGCTTATTTAAATTCACAGCATGCTTGAAATGATAACATTTTAAATGTGACAGCAAATATAATAAAGAATAAAAATAAAATACAGTTCTTTACAGACTTTTAATGTATTCAAAAGTCATAAAAACATTAAGAATGTTTGAATTTCACACTTTTAACGTAGATTCATTACCACTGAAATACTATGTTCCTGCAAAAAAGGAGTATAATTCCCTTGGACAAGATAAAGCAAAATCAAATTGAAATCTAATTAATATCAAGCTGTTCAATTTGCTTAGAACAATAAAACATTATTGTTATTGTGACAATATCCAAGTTTAAATGCTAAAATGAAGCACTGCCTTACAAGCTGGACAATTTCAAAGAGTACTTTAGACTTAATTTCTACCGTGCTGTCTAAATCTTAACAGAAAAATGTGATGAAATTTGGCTGAAAGAAATAATGCACCTTCGAGAAGGTCAAATACCATATGATTTCCTTCATTAAGTAGTAGATAATAACAACAATAAACAAACACATAGGGACAGAGATTGGATTGGTGGTTGCGGGGGGGGGGTGAAGGGGATGGTTCAGTACATGTGTGTGGTGATGGGTTGTAGTTGGTGTTTTGGTGGTGAACATGATGTAATCTGTGCAGAAGTGGAGGTGTAGTGATGTACACCTGAAAATTTTACAATGTTGTAAACCAATGTTACTGCAATAAACAAAAAATTTTTTAAAAAATAAGAAAAAAAAAGAAAAAACTCTGCAAGAAATCTCTGTGATAAGGTAAAAAAAAAAAAAAAGAAAGAAAAAGAAGGGGCACTTTTTATGCCCCAAATAGAACTGAAGCTTAGGATTTAGTTTGCATAATATATTTTATTAATTTTAATTCAATTGATGTATATAATAGAGAGGGCCTAAGACTTGTACTGAAGGTATTTTCCCTTGCTAGGATTTAGTTATTGAGATTTTTTAAAGTCATCAGAACATTATTAATTTTGAGAATTTCTAATACAGAGAACATTTTAAGGTACTCCATATAAATAATTGCTTCCAGTTATTCCAGCCTCCGGATCTCCGTTTCTTGACCATGGACTTCACTGCGTATTTCCCTTTCTTGGGCGGAAGAAAGGAAAGGAGAGCAGGTGGCAAACTCAGACCTCCATGGGAGGAACTTTGAGCAATACAGCAGACTTGTACCCAAGTCCTGGCTGTGAAGAGTTGAGGAAAAAAAGTATTTTTAGGTAAATAAATTAGGTAAATAAAAGCTTCCAAAAAAAAAAAAAGAAATAATGCACCT